TCTGGAGACTCGGAAGGAGGTTTTTAGATGACAGCATTTTCATGATGCCATTTGTCTTTCACTTCTACATTAATTAGAAGCATGCGTGCATTCAAGTGTTTTCACTGCTTTATGAATCAGGAAGATTTTCCTGAATTTATTCCAAGCGTGCAGGTTCAGATTTTTCTGTTTTTCTTATTTCAGTAGGGACAAATGAAGGTGGGGTCACTGCTGTGATTAACTGCTCGTTGCTCTTGCTTGATGCTCCTCAGGGGCTCCTCCTTGGAGCAAAGAGTAAATAGGATGTTGTTTGTCTTGTGAAAGCTCTTTTCCCTTGAGAGCACTGACTACCTTTCAACCTGGGGGGAAAATGCCGGGGGGGGGCGGGAGGCCAGCTGCCAGACTATTAGAGGTGTAATGTGCAGCAGTATTAAGGAAAGAATTGGTGGTTTTTTCGTTTGGCGTGGTGACAAAAATAATGGAACTGCAATTCCAACATTGCTAAATGTTGGTAACTGGAACCTCAATCATAAAAATTGGAAGAATGGAATGTGGACAGTCTGTAGAAGTTAGGTTTTTAATTATTTGATGACAGTTGAACATGTTACAAGGGTGGTTAGTGATAGGACAAGGGGGGAGGTTAAACTGAGACAGGGGAGGTTTAGGTTAGATATTAGGAGGAAGTTTATCATGCAGAGAGTGGTGAGGCACTGGAACAGGTTGCCCAAGGAGGCTGTGGATGCCCCATCCCTGGAGGCATTCAAGGCCAGGCTGGATGTGGCTCTGGGCAGCCTGGTCTGCTGGTTGGCGACCCTGCACGTAGTAGGGGGTTTGAAACCAGATGATCATTGTGGTCCTTTTCAACACAGGACATTCTATGATTCTGTGTTTGTCCATTACACTTTTAACATGATGCCGTTTTCCTGAAGACCACTCTGGCACAACAGCAAAAATGCATGAATTCTGGTATTGATTTTATTTAACAAACAGTGAGAAAGCCATTTCAGTGTATTGTGATTGGGTATGGCAGAGCACCTACCTGAGCTGGTTTAGGAGCCAAAGTGGAGAGGTTTTTTGCTCTCATGAATTCCTTGCATTTCCAAAGAAATGCAGCTCCAAACCCAACAGTCCTCCAGGTTCCTCAGCTCCTTCAAGAAATCAGTAGTGCTGTTCCTGCCTCGAATTTTTCTTAGGCTTTTCCTTATTTTTAGTTGCCATTAACCACATCTGAGTGACTTCCCTGAGCACTGTGATGCAGAAGGGGCTCTGTCCTGCGGGATGATTGGATGGTGAGGCACTGGAACAGCTGTCCAGAGAGGTTGTGGATGCCCTGTCCATCCCTGGAGGTGTTCAAGGCCAGGTTGGATGAGGCCCTGAGCAGCCTAGTATACTGTTGGATATGGGGGGTGGCGGCCCTGCCTGCAGCGGAGGGTTGGAACGTGCTGACCCCTGAGGTCCCTTCCTACCCAAGCCGTTGTGTGATTCTGTGATGCTGCTGTCCAAGGCTGCTTTGCACGCAGGCAGCACAGCGCAGCACCCTTCAGACACAGTGTGATGTGGGGCCTACTGCCTTTCCTCTTTATGTTTTGGTTTATGGCTGCCAGCGCTGGAACCCTGAAGAGATAGGCCTCAGAGCTGCTGACTGGAGGGCTGCCCAGTGACCACGAGCAACAGAGGAGCAGCTTGCTCATTAGGTGATGCTGTGACACGTTATTGGCAAGCTAATCTGGGCAAGTATGTTCTTGAATGAGATGTATATGTAAGCATTTTAAGTGCCCCGTTAATCAAATGCTTGAATGATAAAGTCACTGCATTCTCGGGCTTTGCTCATGTTCTTTTTTTTTTCTGCCTTAAATATATTTAAACTACGTATTTGGGGCTTTCCCTCTGGTTCGTCAGAAGCCAATAAAACCCTACCGAGGACAAGAAGGGATTAAGGAGGGAGCAGGAGCTCTCCAAGCTTTCGCTAGCGGCCTGAGGCGGGCGAACCCCGCAGCACGTGGTCAGAGGGCGGCCGGGGGGCGGTGCCAGGCGGCGGCACGGAGCGGCGGCGGCCGCGTGAGTGCGGGGTCGGGGGCTGCTGGGGGGCCGGGGCGGCGGTGCGGGTGCCCTGCGATGGCTGCGGGGCCGCTCCGAGCGGCGGGCGACGCGGGAGAGTGCCTATGTCAGCCCTGCCGGGAGGCGCCGCCGCGGCTTTCTGACCTTGCGCTACCCCCGGGGGGTGAGGAAGCGGGAGGTTGCGCCCGCGGGGCTGATTCGCCCGTCCTTGCGGTGTGATGTTTGGGCTGATCGCCGTCTTGTTGCGTCGTTTAGGCGGAGAGTGAGTGGGCGCAGTGAAAGACAAAGGTCCTGTGTTTCGTTCTTAGCTCTGTTCCCAGCGCCTCGGTGCGATGCCTGGTGCGGTCGGGCTGCAAAGCCTCGGAAACCCCTTTGGACTGCTTCGAGCTCTGCTGGCCTCGTTCTAATCGGAGACAGAAGCAGGCACTGGGTTCAGAATGGGGGTGTGCCCAGAGCCTCGTGCTGCTACTTGGTTGATGCTTAGTGCTGCTGCTGCTGCCCTCCTGGGTGGAATAGACACTTGTATTGATTATCCTGTATTTCTGCTTTTAGTAGTGAATTATTCTGCTGTTGGAACAGTGTGATGTGAGGAATGTGGAAACTCAAATACAAGGAAAGCAAAAATATAGGGGGGAAGTATGTCTTAATTTGAGCTTGACTGTGCAGTTCCTGCTGGAGGGAGCAATTGCTGCCATTTGCCAGGCCCACAGTTCTGTGTTTGCCATACTTTGCTGAGCATAGCAGATCTGTTGGTATTCCCCTATTTTCTCCTTTGCAGATCACTATGGTGCTTAGCTTTTCAGCTGTGGACCCCAGCGGACCCAGCTGTGAGCTCAGTCTGTGGTATCTACACATAAGCACTTCTTGCAGTTCTGTGCTTCAGTGCTTCATCCCACCTGTGCAGCATCTCTGCATGCTGGTTGAGCAGAGATTTGAGTTGTCCCAGGCACATATTGAGCAGCCCATTCCCTCTGAATATCACACAGAAGATAGAAAATTGGAAGATTTTCCAAGTGTAAGAGATGCTTAAAAGGAAAAAGTAGACGAGATGTGGGTTTGTGGCATGTCTTGAAAACATTATCCAAATGGAGAGTACAGATTGCATGGTTTAACAATAGTCTTCCTTTCCAAGGAAAGTATTGTTCCCTTGCTTGACACAGTAACTTTCTCTTCCAATCCCACCCAGTTGAGTAGAGCAGTGAAACGTGCAGGTTGGGGAGAAACCTGGAAAGAAGGCTGCTGCTTTTGACACAGGGAGTGATTTGCAACAGGATCTTTGCAGTGAAAGAAAGAAAAAGAATCACTAACGTTATTTAAAAAAAAAAAAAAAAAAAAAAAAAAAACCAAAACCAAAGGAAAAAAAAAAAAAACCTAAATTCATGCCTTCAGAATGTTAGGAGGGTGCTGTGTATGTTGATTTTGGCATTCAAAGGACATTGCGGGTTGGCAGGGACTGCTGGTCCAACCCCTGCTTAAAGCCAGGCTGATCTTGGAGTTGGATAGGTGGGTGTATTTTGCAATCCCTAAAGGTATTTAAAAGCTCATCAAATCCTGATGAGCATGTCACCGGGTTATTGGGAGTTGTAAATGTTCTTTAAAAGGAGCTAATTACAAAGATATTTATAATCTGGTGACTCATTTCTGGTGGTATGTCTCATAAAAAAGTAATCAGCTCAAACCTGTGCTTGGGATGTGCAAGTTGTGACAAATCTCCGAAAGACGATTAGGCTCATGATGGGAGGGAAGAGAAGGGATGAAGAAGCAGCGGTCAGAATCAACTTGTAAGAGCAGTTTTTGATCACAGAATCACAGGATGGCCCGGGTTGGAAGGGACCTCAAGGATCATGAAGCTCCAATCACCCACCACATGCAGCCTCCCCATTTAATACCAGACCAGGCTGCCCAGGGCCCCATCCAACCTGGCCTTGAACACCTCCAGGGATGAACAGGGCATCCACAGCCTCTCTGGGCAGCTGTTCCAGCACCTCACCACTCTCATAGTGAAGAACTTCCCCCTGACATCCAACCTAAATCTTCCCTCCTTCAACTTCAAACCATTTCCCCTTGTCCTGCTGTTATCTGACCTTTCAAAGATCAGAGGATATGTAGCAGTGCAGTCTGCCTTGTGGCAGTGCTGGCTGAGTGTTTCCACTTCTGCTTGTTCTTAGGAAAAGCATGCAAGTAAATCTGTGTGTGCTGCCATGACTCTGACAACTGGAATACACAAATTTTCCAGTGTTTTTTGACACAGCTGCAGCAGGTCGTGTTTATGCTGCTAAAATAAATGTTTAAGGATAGCTATCCTCTTAATGACATTTGTGGGTGGCAGGGAAATGAGACATCTAGAGAACCATGTTTCAATTGGTCTTCTTGACGCGAGGTGAAGACCATCAACCGACTCTTACAGCAGGGCTGAGACTTGGCTTGTTTAAATTTGGGTTAGCTAAGTACTGACAGACCAGAAAACAACTCGCTCTTATCTTGGGAATCTCTGATGGTCACCACAAAACCACACCAAAAAAAAAAAAAAAAAGTATTTTTTTTGTTTTCTTTGGCTTCTCTCTGCAAAGAGAAGTGCTCCATCACTTGTGGAGGCTTTGAGGACTGGTGATGTTTGCAGAACCGAGAGCTCTGATAGTTCTGGAGAAAAGGAGGCTCTTCAGCACTGCGGAGGGTGGCATTTTTTAACAGGCTGACGTCTCCTTCGTTGCTGCCAGGGCTGTTTTTGTTGTCTGGGCGCGCGGAGGAGGGCAATTAGAAGTAAAAAGGACCGAATACAGAAGGAAGACACTTATTGTGAAAATGCGCGGCTCTAAAAACAAACCAAAAAACTTGAGCGCGGCTCCTGGCTGCGTTCTCAGCTTCACGAGCGCGGAGCGATCGAAGCGTTAAGCCCGGCTCGGCGGGGATTGGACAGCTGCTCTGGCGTAAGCGCTTCGGGCCGTCACGGAGCGCATAGCCCAGGAGGAGAGGCAGGGCGGCTGAGCCCCGACGCTGCCCGCCCGTCCCTCGGTGCGATCCGCTCCGCCGCCCACTGCTGCCCGGGGCTCTGCTGGCTGCCTTGGGTGAGTGCGCGCCTTCTGGAGCCGCTCGGGGTGCCCCGTCCTGCCTGCTGCTGAGGGCGGTCACCGAGGCTCTGATGGAGGGACAACGCTTTTGGGGTGGCAGAAGGTTGCGGTGTTGCTTGGTAGGGGAGGAAGTCGGTGCGGTGCATGCCTAGGTGGTTTATGTACTGGTATGCTGGGGAAATTTAATTGGCTGACGGACAGTTGGCAGAATTATGCTCTTCGTTCTGCTGTTTCTTTACTACGAGAAGGGTGAGGTGCGGGAACAGCTGCCCGGAGAGGCTGTGGATGCCCCATCCCTGGAGGTGTTCAAGGCCAGGTCGGACGGGGCCCTGGGCAGCCTGGTCTGGTATTAAATGGGAAGGTTGGTGGCCCTGCATGTGGTGGGGGGGTTGGAGCTTCATGATCCTTGAGGTCCCTTCCAACCTGGGCCATTCTGTGATTCCATCTCCTTGCTTGTTCAAATAGCAAAAGATCACACATCTGGATTTTTTTTCAGTTAACAGAGCCCGAGGAGCCCAATTAGACCAAAGAGGTGTGTTGGCTAAGATAGTGATCTCTATATCGAGACTACAGCTGGGTGGTGTGAAATAATGGAGGGAAGCTGGCTTTCAGCAATGCTAATGATGGCAGCACTAATGATAATGGTCATAAAAAAAAAAAAAGCTAAGCGGGAAGTTGCTTGTTTAGTAGTTGTCACAAACTTGGCAGCACTTTTGTACACAAATGAAATACACGGGGAAATACAGTTTTGTTTTATCGCCATCCCTTCTTGTAGCTAAGAATTAGGAGAAGAGCATCTCCACTAGGCAAGATGGGAAAGAATATCTGGATCTGGGAGGGAATGGGGCTATGGCCTTTTGGCATGCCACGCAGATTGGAGCATCAGGGCAACACACTTTCAATTACATTTTGGTTGTTCTGAAAGCTGGGGTCAGGATGGTCTCTGATACAAATTAGATGCACAAATCAAAAAATGTCCTTACAAGCACTTGAAAAAAGTATGTAGACAAAGCAGATAAGGACAAGGAGAGTTTCCCCGTGTTACAAATAAGCCATGAAGTTAGGTTCTGTTATCTGCACCTTGTTTGTGTAAACCGCCCTTGTTTCCTGCTCAGGCTCGTCATCCAAAATCCCAGTCTATCTCTGGGATTTTCATGTTTCGAGGTACTGTGGTCCTGTCTTCCTCAGCACCAAGTATAGCATTATATGGTGCTACAAGGAAAAAAAATCTTTTTTTCAGTATACTTCTAGCTATTTCTGCAGGTAGGCAGGCAGTTCATTGTATTTGGTTCTCAGAGGCATTCTGGAACTGGTTTTAAGGATGGAAATAGAGATTTTCACCTGGAAAAATCTGGGCAATGTGTCTGACTCGAAAAGTGGAGCCTACTCCTGGTTTATACTTTCTGAATTCTAGCAGCAGTTAGCTGTGGAGACAAACATGGTGTGTGTTTCTGGTCTGTTGCCAGTCACAGTTCAAAACAGTGACGTTTTTCCTATGTTTGTAGGGGAAAAATATTATCTTCTGTTCAAAACTGTATATACAGGCAGCAATAGTCACCTAAAGAGCGTGTCTGGGAATGGGGTCTTGCAGATGGCTGTAGAAAGTATTTGATTCTCTACTGTGTAACTTATGAGATCTGCAGCCCTTTGTAATACCTAACTGTTGTGATGTAAACGAGCAGTGACTTTTTACCCTGCTAAAACTTTTGTGACTTTTGTGCCAGTTCTTGCTCACAGCTGGATCTTGAATTTTATCCCAGGCTAAACTTGCTTTCCTCTACCCTCTCTGGAAGGTGGCTGTCAGCCCTTCCCAGTCTTGTGAAACCTATGCAAAGGTCAGGATTGGGTACTGGAGTCTTCAGCAGGGAGCTGCTGGTTAATAAAACTGCCATGAAACCAGAGTTGCTGATAACAATGAGCAGTTAGTGCTTTTTAGATGTGAGCCAGCATATCTAATGGCTTCCATTGCAGTGTTATCTGTTCTGATCAATGGGTGTGAAATTCAGTTGTTTGTTCCTGATGTGATCTGGGTTTGTAAGAGTGGAAGTTGATCAGGATATCGAAAGTGCTGTCCAGGGCATGTTTGTAATGTTAATTTTTTTTGTACCTAATGAAATGGGTTGCAAGTCTAAATATTTCTTTCTGTAGAAAATACTGCTGAGCTCTGCTTTTGGCTCTGTGCCTGCTTTGGTTCATACACTGAACTGGAAACAGGAAAGATTACCAGTTCCTCCTTATCCAGCATTATTGGTATTCAGTATTAGAGCTGATGTTTCTTTTTCTTTCCAGAAATGTCCTTCCTACCTGACTTTGGCATCTTCACTGTGGGCATGTGGTCGGTTGGTCTCGGAGCCATCGGTGCAGCCATAACAGGGATTGTGCTTGCCAACACTGACTTCTTTTTGTCCAAGGCAGAAAAAGCAACACTAGAATTTTTGGAGGGGATAGAGCTAAAAACTTTGGGGTCAGGTAAGATTCTGGATGTTTGAGCTGTCGTTTGATATGTTTGAGGAAAGAACCTCTATATGACCAAGGCTGGAAATGCTGAAGAACAGTGAAGTGTGCATAGAAGGTTTAATTTTCCTGAATCAGAGATTATCTGTAGGGGATACAAGATTTCATGCAGACCACGTGAGGTGTCTAAAGAGTTTCTCTTAGTCTTTTCTAGTTTTAGGAAGTAGTTGAGTGTTCTTGATAGCAGATGATTCTGGTGAAGGAAAAGCAACTGGTATTTCTAGAAGGTCTATTTCAAATTATAATACAGTTGATGTGTATAATTTTCAGTATATGTGAAGACACACACTGAAAAAATCAATAAAGCAAGTAATACTGTTATATACATGGAAAACTTCTCTGAATGGTAGAATTAGAATTGTATTTGAATGTGGAATTCTCTGCAATGCTTCCAGTTGCTCCTTCAAGGATCAATCATTGTAAATAAGGGTTGTTGATATTATTGTTGATGCTTTTTTTCCTCTATAAACAGAGCCAAGAACATTCAAAGCAGGTGAACTGTGGAAGAAGAATGGTGCAGTGATCATGGCTGTGAGAAGACCTGGATGTTTTTTGTGCAGAGAGGTACTTACTTGCTGAATCTGGGGGCTAATTAGGATGAGTTAAGCTCTACTTGTATGGATTCCCTTTGAATAAAGGGAAGAGGTGAGCAGGATAGTTATCATACACATCTGAAGCGTCTGAAAGATACTGTCCTAGCACAAACTGGTTACTGGCTAACAATGTACTAGTTTTAGTTTTCTTTGCAGCAGGTGTATAGATTGAGTCTTGAGTATTTTCCTTCTGAAGGTGATTAATGCTTTATTTTTACATCTGCCAGAGATCTAGCAGACAGTAATTAGAAATGGAGACTACCCAAAACTCAGTTATTTATGAGTCTTAGGAGCTAGTCAGAGATTTATTTTGGACGTATGGAATATGAGCCAGGTACTGTCTGGTCAAAAGCAATCAAAGATTGGACTGGCAGAAATCCATCAGATAAAGCTCACCTGCAAAAAAACAGGTCGGTGAAGGGGATTCCCTCACTATTCTGGATGCTGAATGGATGCTGAATGGGAGCCAGGAAGGCAAAGATTGTGAAGGTAAGGAGAATGTGTTATGAAAACTCCCTGTTTCCTCACCAGCAGTCTATGTAGACTTGTACTGGTTGATAACAGGGTGGGTTGAGAAGCAGGATTTGATCCTTAAGCTGGCATTAGGCTTCTTGGGTGGAGGTGGAAAGTGACACTTAGAATGCAATTTGAATGTAAGATGTGCCTGGAAACAGTTGTAATGTGCAACTTGGCCATTATTTTTCTCATAGCTAGGGGGAAAAATAGCTATTATGTTCTTACTCGCTGCTCCATAAAATAGTACTTACATATTGTAGCCACTTCAGTAAGGTATCTTCTCCCGTCAGTAATATCTGCTTAAATATGTGTAGGACTAATGGAAGGTATTAAACTACTTTGTCCACTGAACAGGTGTCATGTAGACAGAAGGAAAATGCCCTGCATGCCTGTTTCGATACAGTCAGACTGGAATTGAGTAAAGTATTTTTCCAAAGCTCTTTTCCTAAGTCGTAGTAAAAAAACCCTTTTCTTTCAGGAAAAATTTGGGAAGGAAAGATTTAAATTTTCTGATTCTTGCTTTTGTTTCAAAATTTTGAATTATTAACAGAGGCAGTCACTGTATAGCTCAGCTAAATATGGCAAGAAATTATTTTGTATTTTAAATGCAAAAATCATTCAAACACATTTTAAATTCTCTAAACTCAAGTTATTTTGGGTTGCTTTTTACCCACAGCATTTTTGTGAGTTGATTCTTGACTTTCTCCTAAGAATAATTGCTTTGTTTTTGTCTGTTGAAGTTTCCATGTAGTATGAAAGCAGCTTCTTGTCACCAACTTCAAGCTGGTGGGATGGTTCAGTACAGGTCACTTGCCAAAACTGTTCCTCTGTGAGCTGTAGATATTCAATTTTTTTTTTTTTTTGCAAAAGACAAAATACAGTTGTTGCCATCTGAAATCCAGGTAGAAAACTCTCTAACTCCAATGTGGTGTTAAAAAGCTGACATTACTTTGTTCCTCACACCACATACCAGGTGACTCAGTAAGTCAAGTGCACCTTCTCAGAGTTCATGGTCTACATTTAAACACTTAATGCATACATATGCAGTACATCAGCATGCATATTCATTCTTTTCTAAGAATTCATTAATGTATATTAATATCCCTCTGGGGGATGCACAGTTGCATTTAAGGTGGTCATAAGACCACCTTCTTCCTCCCCTTTATTTTTCCTTCAGCTTCAGTGCAGTGACTTTTGGCTGACCTGTAGCTGTTCTTCCACAATTTGGCAAATTTCCATTACTTTTTAATGCCATAATGAGCAACGTTCTGTCTTGATACACTACAGCTCAAAACAGTTTATGTGGAACTCAAGAAATAAGTCCTTGCCCCTGGTGGGTGCAAAGATAAATCATAGAATTATAGAATGGCCTGGGTTGAAAAGGACCACAATGCTCATCTGGTTTCAACCCCCTGCTGTGTGCAGGGTTGCCAACCAGCAGACCAGGCTGCCCAGAGCCACATCCAGCCTGGCCTTGACTGCCTCCAGGGATCCACAGCCTCTTTGGGCAACATCAAGTAGTCTTATTGTGAAGCACTTCTTTGAAACAGATTCACTGAGAAAAACAAGGCTGTCCACATACCAGAAAAAGCTGGATTAGAAAGTTTTAGAACTAGCACACACTGATTCCTTTTAATAAACTGATACATTGGTCTTTCAGCTGATATATTGATCCTTATTGCTAAGACATCCTTTATCACAGTTGGTTTCCGCTGTCTTCTACTTTGGGAAGGAACTCCAACTTTGTTCTTGCTGACAGTGCCAAGAAGGAACATGTATGTGCCTGGACTCAGAGTTTATGTAATAGAGGAGCCTATTGCTCTAGACTGGAACGTCATTTCTCAAACACGTAGACTGTTACATCCCAATACAAACTTGATTTGTTGATTATGAAAGTTTTGAACTGTATTAAAAAAAAAATCCAGACAAAATAGCCATTAGCCACCCCTCTCCCTCCCACCCCATTGTTTTTTTAGGAAGAACATTAAGGCAGTTTGTTCAAGGAAGAACATAAAATAATTAGCAGATATTTATGAGCAGAAAAGAAAGGCGTGACAAGCCTAAGCAATGATCCTTTAAGCCTTACACTTTCCTACTTACTGTTTCCTTTTGATGTTGATTCATCCTTTTCATTTCCTCTGGAAAGTATCAAGAGTAGTGAACTATAGTGCTATGCTTACCCTTTCAGCTACTGATATCTTTCTCTAATGTCTTTTGTCTGTTTGCCCTGTCTATGTACTTATATTTCCTAAATTCTGGATAACCCACGCTCACAAACCTTTGAGTTAAGGCATAGCACGTAGCTGACTGACAGTGTTCAAGCAAATGTCCTTTTTTTTTTTTTTTTTTTTAAAAAACAAGTGTAGAGTTCTTTTGTGGACTTTTGTCCAATAAAAATGAATTATCTCAATTGGAGAAGCCTTGGAGACCTTTGTACAAGCTGTGGGAGCAGGGGTTTCTTCAGCAGAACAAAAAGGCAAGGAGATGAATGGCAATATATATGTATTTATACACCAGAAAAAGTAATAAAGCAATATTGCTTCTGAGATACTGAAAGTGTATGAAGAAATTTCTTGTTCATTTTCACTGGGAAATCTAGGGAGGAGGGTGCGTTTTCACTCCATTACTTACTCTAGACTTATATATTATGTTCCTGCATTGAACACTCAAGTGCTTCACACAAAGCCTGACATCATTATGATACGTTTCTTTTTGGGAAAAGATGTGAGACCTAGGCCTGGGAAAGGTAGGTGATGTACAGGCAGGATCTTTTTACTGTTCTGTAAATGCTTAAAAAAATAGTTGAAGCTGTGGCACAAGCAAAGCAAGCACAGAACTTGGAATTAACAGTGTGTTTTCTCTAGGATTTTATTATTTTTTCCAGAGAATGCTCCAAAAGTTTTCTTTCTTGCTTAGTGAAGAAAATTGCAGTAAACTTAACGAAGACCGGCTTACAAGTAGATCTTTAATGTCTAACCTACAGATGAGTCTCTATTTTGCACCTGAAGCTAGAATTTATGTGTTTCAGATGCTCTAAAATTTAAGGTGAAGCTTTCTAGCTTCCATCTACTGCCTGAAATGTTCTTTTTTTGTTTCATAGGAGGCTTCTGAGCTTTCCTCTCTGAAACCTCAGCTGTCCAAGCTGGGTGTTCCTCTCTATGCTGTTGTAAAAGAGAAGATAGGGACCGAAGTTGAGGATTTTCAGCATTATTTCAAAGGAGAAATCTTCCTGGATGAAAAGGTATAATGAAATCACTGCTATTTTCCTTTTTTTTCTTTTTCTTAATACCAAGCTTATGGATATCCTCTTTGAAGAACTTGTATGATACAGATAGAAAGTATTCTGAATGAAACGTTGTAGTTCAAGAGGTTAAGTTTCCCCTCCTTGTATGGGAACTGCTGAGTCACGGCCTGAACCTCTGATTGATCACCTGAGGTGAGCCTTGAGTCAGCCAGAGGAGCACAGGTGAAGGCAATTCAGCTGTGCTGCTGGAAGGGTTGGAGCCTGGCTCCACCTCTCCTAGACCTATTTAAGAGCTGGCTACCAGTGGGGATGGATCTCATCTGGAGATCCTCTCTGTGGGAGTTGTGTGAGTGAGCCCAGGATAGGGGTAAGCTTTCTATCTATTCTCTTTTTGTTATCGTAATCTGCTTTGCCAAACTCTCTTGTTTATTTTGTAATTATAACATCTTAATATTCATTGTTTACACACCCTCTTCTTTAACAGATAGAGTCTGTTAATCTTAATTCTGTTCTTGCACTGTCCTTGTGACTTGCTGTTGTTAATAATGTATGAATCAAGGTCTGAAGGTAGAAGACAATTAGTTCAGTAAGTGCAGCTCTAATTATGATGTGGCTTGTCCTATTATCATAGAATGCCATAGAATGGCCTGGGTTGAAAAGCACCACAATGATCATCTGGTTCAAACCCCCTGCTACGTGCAGGGTCGCCAATCAGCAGACCAGGCTGCCCAGAGCCACATCCAGCCTGGCCTTGAATGCCTCCAGGGATGGGGCATCCACAACCTCCTTGGGCAACCTGTTCCAGAGCCTCACCACCCCCTGTGTGGAAAAACTTTCTCCTGATATCTTACCTAAACCTGCCCTGTCTCAATTACATAGGCACATACTGTATTGCCAGTTTAATGTCCTGCAAAACTACAGACCTGCTTACTCCTTAATACAGAGGACGCGTTTAGAAATCATCTGGCTTCTGAAAGAAATATTCAAAACTGATGAAAAGATGCCTGTATTTACCATTCTCACTCTGTCTGTTTAAAAGAAACTGATTAAAAAAGAGGGTTGATGAAATTTTAGGACTTCAGCACCTATTTAAACAGCACTTTTATTGGTGTAGTTCAAAAATGAGAAAAAATGCACATATCACCAAGTGCTCTTTGTTCTCAACAGTGTTGGTGTAGACTATCGTGCTTAAATAGCTGTGGATCATAGTTCAAAAGACACATAAAGGGAGGCAGTAGTCCTAGTTGGCTGTGTGGAAGTAAACGGTCATGTGGTGTGTAAGAAATTAGTTCAGGTGCAATTTCTTTACAGCTCTGCCTGTTCATCTTTTCTATTTACGGTCCTTTTTGGATACAGGGTTGTAACGTCTCCTGAATTTAATTTGGGAGAAGTCCTTTTCACTTTGCTGTTTTCTGTTTAATTGCAGAGAAGCTTCTATGGCCCACGCAAACGAAAAATGATGCTGTCAGGCTTCTTCCGCATTGGAGTCTGGCAAAATTTCTTCCGTGCTTGGAAAAATGGTTATAGTGGTAACCTGGAAGGAGAAGGGTTCACTCTGGGAGGAGTATATGTGATTGGAGCAGGAAGACAGGTAACTGCAAACCTGCTGGCAGGTTTCTCTTTTGTAATTACTCATTTGCTTATCAGCTGATCTCTTCTGAGGAGCCTGGGATTAGTGTATGTTTTTTTTTGTGTGTGTGTGTGTTTATATAGGGTATTCTATTGGAGCATCGTGAGAAAGAATTTGGTGACAAAGTCAGCCTTCCATCTGTCCTTGAAGCTGCTGAGAAGATACAGCCACAGGTTTCATCAGCTGAAAAATAGTTGCACGTTTTTCTGATCACAGCTTGAAATGTAGAACATATCTGTTTCTTGAATGTGCAATTTAATTGCTTCTTAACTATTTAGTGATTAGTGCCGAAGAAAGGTTCACTTTTCAAATATAATAACTGATGAAAACCCTTTCAGATTTTTTGTGGCTTTGCTGTCTTTCAGGTGGTCAGAGTTTCAGCTGACTTTTTGTGTCTGACTGTATTAATGAAAGGCTGGGTCTAAAATCTGACATAGCCTAGATGTTTTCAGTCAGAGACAGTCAGTTGAAAGCCTGTCTACGTAGGGGAGCAAAACCTTGCTAAACCTGGAGAAATTAACCTAAGGTTGAAGGGTAATAAAATTTTATGTGGATGAAATATCTTCACTCTTTTTTTTTTTTTCCTTAACACGTAAACACATCTGTATTTCTAAGAAATCATCTGGTCCAATTCCTGTCTCTATGCAGAACCACCCAAAATTCAAACTCTATATTTAGGGGCATTATTTAAGTGCTGCTTGAACTCCAGCAGTTTGGTGTCCTGATCACTTCCCTGGGAGTCTGTTCCAGTTTCTGACCACCCTCTTGGTGAAGATCTTTTTCCTCATATACAACCTGAGCCTTCCCTGATGCAGCTTCATGCCTTTCCCTCAGGTCCTAAATCTTGTCAGTCTAGATAAGTCAATCCTGACAAAATCCTGTCAGTCTAGATAATTCAGAGATTCTGCATTCAAGGCATTCTTTTGTATTTTGAATAACTACCACATCTACCCAAGTGAGTTTCTTGTTAATTAAAGGTTCTGAGAATTCCAGCTGTTTGTGTGATTGCCTGCGAGGAAGATAGAAGACATCTAATGTTCTCTCCAGAAGATAACTGTGATATGAGAGCGAGTTCCTTTTTGTGTTTGTGATTCTAAAAAATGGGAAACAGTATGAAAAAAACAGACTATGTAGAGCTTCCATTTCTAAATGTTCTGCATCAAGTGTCCTAGAATATCCTTAACCAGCTGGCGTATGTATGAAATAACTTTGGGTGGGGGAGAAAAAATATGGGCTGGAACATAATGAGATAGCAAAATAATTAAACAATTAATGTTTTGTCCTGGCAGGATACAATTCATACCTGTCATTCTACTCTTCTGGCCTTAGAATTTATGAAACTTTGCTGCATCATTGATACAGAAGGCAGGGATTCTTTGTACCTCTGAAACTTTGGTAATAAGCCTGTTATTGTTATTTTTGGTATTAGTATTATTTTGTTATATTGTTATTTTGCCTAGCCATATGTATGGTCATGCATGGTGATGACTATATGAAAACTAAAAGCTGAAACTTCACAAGCACTGAAGAGTGGTATTGATTTGTGTTAAATCAGTTGTGCAAGTTCTGCAATTGTGTCATTATGGGTAAAATCCTGACTTAAAATGTCTAAACAGACCTAATTTTAACTAATATGCACTCTTCATAGTTTTTTGTTCACTGTTGCCTGAAACAGCACTAGCATTGAGGATTTTGGGACAAAATCTATATTCATCTGTCTTCTTCCATATTTGTTTCACAAAATCTAGTTAGATGTTTATGTGCATGTTCTCAGTTGTACTGACTGTCTTGGTTAGTTTAGGTGCTTGAATAAAATAAGTGTCCTGGTGTTGTATGAAGGTGTTTAGGTTAAAAGCAAAAAGCTTTAGTATGGGGTTCTTAGTTTTTAGGTTTTCAGAACCTGATGCTTGTGGTGGTGTTAAGGAGTTGAGACACTAAATGACAGAGTGGAGATGGGCTCCAATGGAATCCAGAGCAGCCAGAGAACTGCCATGAGTTTGCCCCAAGAAGAAAAGAATTCTCTGAAGGCTCTTTGTCCTGTTTTTGTATTGTTTTAAGAAAGTACCCATAACGTGAGTGCTCACCTAACAGTTGTCTTTGACAGGCATGTTGTTATTTGGAGTGCAGGTGGTAGGAAACACAAAAGAGATGATGGAAGAAATACCTGAGAGCTGCTGTTTCTTACCGTGCAAGATGCTACTAATAAAAAGGAACTTACAACAGGAGCAGACTTCTGCATCAGAACTCTTACTGAGTTTTGAGTTGTGCTTTATTTGCAGTGGGAATGGGAGGCTTTGTCTTTTGCAGAGGACAGATGCTGCAAAAAGACAGGCAAGCAAGTACTGAGCTCAGAGAGATCTGGATTTCAGGCCTTGTTCCAGTGGCTGTTTACACATTTTACATAAACAGTCCTTGGAGTATGGGCTGGAAGACAGATAAATTCCAAGAAATGTCATGTCAAGTACTTCAGAACTCGCTAAGCCATGTACTTGAAGTTTTGTTGGATGTGCAGTTGAATTTCACCCTTTCTGGCAGAGTTTGCCTATGGTTCTTTTGAGTCAAAGTCCCGAAGGTCTCTTATGAGATAAAAGCCACTGTGTTGCAGCCCTGCTGTTATTCCAACAAAAAGGCTATTGTTTTGTGGCCCTGGAAATCAAGTCAGGAAACCACTAGGTCTAGCATTTAGAACATTTAGCCAAAGGGTAATGGCTGTTAAGTATGTACGTCACTAATGCTATAACATGATGAAGCATACGCTTAAGCATAGAAATGGTTTCAGAACTGCATGTTCTCTATGCTCCATCAGCAGAGGCATGCATACAGTAACCATGTGAGACCTCCAAATATGGGAATGTGCCTTCTGTCACTGTTAACAGCAGCAGTTCGTGTAAACAGCTGAAGGAACAGTGTTCTTCTGGATTTGAAAGGTATATACATTTACTCACATGTCAAAATTCTTTAACCACATCTTTCAGAGGTCAGCATAAATTTGGAGATACAAAAAGTACAAATGACGTTTGAAAACGTTGAGAATTAGCGATTAAACTTTTTTTTAATAAGCCAGCCTCGGGATTATTTGGAGTTGCCTCATTCTTTCCGAACTCCACTTTGACAGAATACAAATGCAGAGGAGGGAAGATACATGGTGCCTTGGAGCAGTTAGTAAGGCTATGAAAAGGGCAGTCTCAAGGAAAATAAAGGGGCAGAGAACGGCAAGGGAGGAGCCATTCAATCGCATGTGAATTCCCAGTGACAGGTACTGTTCAAGGTCTGAATGCCTGGTTTAAGAAAATGTTTTCTTCTGTAAGTGTTGATTAAAAAATAGTATTTTTAATGTTGTTGATTTTGTTGTGTCAACAGCTACCTCTGCTGGCCCTGTTCCTTACTCATATTTAAAGCTTTGATGTTTTCTTCATTTAACACAAGTATACAGTAAGTCTTTTGTCAGTGCACCAAATACAACATCACAATTGAACACTCAGTTGCTTACTGGAAATTCTAATGCTGGGAGCACTAGTAATTGGAAACTTTCTTATTCTGGGTTTGAACAATAAAACTCTCCTGTAGTATTTTCTTTTCAATTACCTTTCCCTTGTTTTTTTGAAAGCCTGCCATTCATTTTTTCATTTGGTACAGAAATAAGGTTAGGATAAAAAACCTTTTTAAAAAAGGAATATTCTGTGAAGCCGGGGAGGGGGGCGGGGGAGGGAGGGGTAGGTGTCATACAGGAAAGTGCTTTTTACCTTAAAAGATGCCTTTGTAAAACTTTAAAATGTATCAATGGTGTTTCCTGTCTTTAGTGTTCTTTTAAATCCATGAGAACGATGATTTGCCTCATAGGGTGTTTTCTGTTTGTTTCCTGTTCTGCATTTTTGTTTCCCTGTGTGTGTTGTCCGTTCCCACGGCTGTCAGATGCCTGTAATTGGTGCCATTTGCAAATATACACAACCAGAATGGAACGCCAAAGGATCACTGCCATTTTTTTTTTCTGATGTGTTTCCTGAGATGCACTCTGACAGAAATAAAAGAATGAGAAAGCTCTTTTTATTCCCTAGCCGCTGGATGTCACTGCTTCCCTAGCCAAAGTGAAGGTCAGAAGAAAACCCGAGTTTTTTTTTTTTTCTGCAGTAAAAGATTTGCATAACAAAGGCGCTAGAAACAGAGCACTGTAGGTCTCGATTAGTCTAGAAGAAAGCCGTGGGGAAAGACATTTATTTTGCGATATTTTTTCTTGTGTGAACCTTTAAGCTTTTTAAAATGATAAAGGAAAGCTATACTATATTGAATGATAGAGTCTGCGGCATGTAAATGTTTCCAAATGAGTGCGGAGGGGATGAATTATTAACAGACTCGCTATAATCCTCACCAGTGTTTCATGTTTTACTGATATTAATTCTAGACGCCGCCGGTGTGCAAAGGGCTTCTCAGTGGTGCAGAAGAGGTACAGTATCCGCTGCTACCAGCAGAGGGCGCTGAGAAAACGGAGAACACGCTGTGGCGAAACGACGAACGAAGTTAAATCACCAGTTTGGTCTGACCACGCTAAATTATATGTGATATCTAAAAAACACCGCCCACATTCATTCTTTTTTTTTTTTTTTTTTTCCTAACTGATCTCAGAAATCTTCTAAAGGTTTTCACCAAAATATTTTAACTAATCTTTTAGGTCCAGCTGCTGATTTCCCAGCACTTTAAGCCTCTCAGTAGATTCTGATCCCCACGCTCCTCTCTCTTAACCTCATAATTATCAAAATCATGTGTTAGTTCCAAATTTAACTCCCACTCCCGGAAGCTTTCCTATAAAAATAGGAATTTATTCCACTGAAAATTTAAGCAGCTGTTAATGATAAAGCTGATGGCATAGAGTGGAATTGGTGAATAGCTCTGGCCTTACTATTTTCCACCACCATGGAATAATGCCATAATGCATTAATCATTAATTTCGGGATATGCTCTGTAGTGGCTACGGAAAGCTGCACTAGCAAATCATTCATGATTGTGCCTGCAAAGTTAAGTGAAAGATCAGGTTTTTCTATTTTTATTCCTGTAGTGCTATTACACCCTCTTACTGCTGAAGTCTTTTAGAAGGCTATCAGTTTTCTCATCCTTCGTAGACATGCTAACTAAGCACAAGAGATGTTTGCCCTAATTTTCTTGGCAACACAGTGAAGCACAAAGAGCAGACATAATGTCAAAAGCTAATAAATTGCACATAGAGAGATTGTTTGAAATGTCTCCATGCTGACAGTCAATTTGGTTAATTTGACTATGCTGCAACCACTGACCATTTTGCGAAGTCAATTTTAAATTGCAAGTGATCCTTGTTTCTACTGATAGGAATCCCCTTCTTCTGTTCACAGTGCTTAGTTCCTAAAGCTGCTCCCTCTGCTGCTGAACCTTAACAGTTACTATTGCCCGTTCTGTCCTATTGTGTTCTAAGTGATAAACATAATAATGAACACTGCCTTGGCTGTGGACTTTACCAAAAACATGGCTCAGTGCTCAGCAAAAGGTGACCGGAGTAGCTTCTGAGATGAGGAAGGGATCTCTTCTAGCTGTGATAATCTACTGACCTCTCTTATCTGCTCCTCCTCATTTAGATCGCCCCTAAGATACAAGTGATCTTTCTTCAAGCATCATCTTTCAGCTTTACCAATCAATTCAATTTTATTCTGCTTCCTAAGAATCCTAAGCCACTATCATGCAATGATCTATAGGTGCATCTGCAGAATTAGAGATGTCTTTATCCACTCCCAGATGGGAGCCCTGAAGCGTGATCTATCTGAGGGCCAGGACGGCTGAGCCTAGCCAAGGCTCTCCAAGTGCTCAGCCTTTCCTGCCTTTGGCTTAAGCCAGCAGTCACAGTATTGGCATCTAAGGCATTCACAAATGCAATCTGTTGCATTTGTGAGAATTCAGGCTTTGAAGTCAGGAATAAAACATTCACATTAACATTTCTTTGAATAACTGCACGCAGGGGGTAAGAAGAAATCCCATTGAAGGGATGTGCAGAGGGCTGTGATGCACTCACTGGTGTGCCTGTCTGCTCACGTTTCAGACGGAGCTCTGTGTCTATCCTTATTAACTCCAGCACAGTACCAGATCTTGGCCTTGACCTAGAAGGCCACATGAGAGAAGCATCAAACTTAAGCAGTGTATTTGTACAAATTTGTACAAACTTTCCTTTCATCCTTTAGCTGAATTGCTGCCATCTCCATGCGGAATGCTTGCTGCTGATCTGGAGGAATAAGGCAGTCCCAAACTCTAGGCCCTGAAGCACGCAAAGAAGTGCAGAGAATACAAGGGCTGTAGTAATGCCTCTGGACTTGAACTCTTTTCCCTCGCCTTTCTGCACATCAGTGTGTTTCTCTAGTTTGTGAGGTGCTGAGGAAGACAGCAAAGGTGGCATAGGCCTTTTCTTGTGCCAAGAGTGATCTTAAAGCATGGAGAACAGCAGAAGTGTGTGGAAGAGCTAAGCTTGAAACTGGGGTACAAAGAGCTTCTGCAGAGGAAAGCCTTTGTTTCCCATCCCCGTCCTCAGCTTTCCGGCTGTTGTTCAGCACATGCCCTCCCTCACATCCAGCTGACTTCCTGAAGCCCTTTCACAAAGCAGGCCTTAGTGTTTTTCATCTGTGCAGGAGTGATACGGAGACCAAAAGTGCCTTTCTCTCAGAATTTGGGAGGACAGGATAGAAAATGCAGACGGGGCAGGAAAAGCTGAGATAAGCAGCTGTGGTGCCTGAAGAGGGCTGCACTGGAGGACCGGCACGCGAAGCCAGGGGGTGACTGCCTCAGCTGCGAGCTCCCACTTGCTCACAACATAAGTTAAAAACCACGAGGCAGCCGCTTAATACTCAGTTCTGAGGGTCTCACCTGGGGCCCTGGGATACTTGGAGGCTCAAAGTACAATTTAGAATTTTATTTATTCATTTTTTCCTTCATCTTGGGGTTTTCTAGGAAATGCTCAGGTTATGCCTTCGAGGTTACCTCGGAATTTCTCTGTGCTCATTCTCATCAAGGAAGTCGGAGTGGTGTTGGAGGAAGCGAGGTTGCTGAGCTCAGCTACCTGCCCTGTTAGCTGCCACCAGCGACCTGAACCGTTCCTCTGCAGGGTGTGAGTACAGTTATCCGCAAAACCCGTCTAAAGCAGTAACGACAGCAGTCAAGCCGAGCACGGGCTTCCACCAACTGATCCGCGCAGCAGGGCTGCGAAGCTGCCGCTCCCCACGCTGGGGTGGGGCTGCTGGAACTCACCGCCCCACCCGGCCCCGAGGGCACCCCGGCAGCATAGGGACAGCTGGAGGGATCAGGGATCTCAGGGTGGGAGGAGAGCGTTGCTGCTGCGCGTCTCCTTTGTGTGCAGCGGCTGCGTGCCCGGGCGCGAGGCGTGGCCTGGCGGTGCATTTCCGCGCTGCTCGGCACCCGGCAGTTCGTGGGGTGAGTTGGAGCTTTGTGAGGGTACGGGTGGGTGTTGGGTTTGGGGGTGGTTTGGTTGTACTCATGGACTAGCCGAGACGGTGAAAGGACTCCGGAGCGTACTGAACGTCGCCTCGTTGTCCTTGTAACTTAGCGAAACTTGGCGAGCAGCTGCCGCCCGGGTGAGTCCGAGCCCCGACCGGGGCAGCGCCGCGTCCCGTGGTTGCCGCCCTCTCTCGGTTTTCCTTTAGAATTCCGGCATTTTGTGCCTTGGGAGCGCCAGTGCGCGGCTCCCCCGCCTCCGGGAGCGGGCAGCCATTTCCCCGGGCGTGCGCAGGGCGGGGGGGTTCAGGAGCGCCCGAGGTGCGGAGCGCTGCTTTGTCCTTGCCGTGCCGCCGGGTTCCTTCGGGGCGCCGCGCGGGGCTGTCGGTGCGGGCGGGGCGCCGGGAGCCGGCAGAGCTTCGCAGGTGGGCACGGGGCCCGGGTCGGCGCGGGGCCGAGTGCCTCAAGGTCACTGCTGCCGTGTCCTGACCGTCCCAGTGCGAGAGAACCGGCGTAGAGCATTTACCTGCCTTTTTAGGGAGAACTGGCTGGGTGCTATGCAGAAAGCAAAACCTGTGCTGTTCTATCTGCTTCGCTTCCTTGCCGACCTTTCTTCTCTGTGTGTGCATCGAGCTACAGCTGTGCACTTTCAGAGTGTCTGCGTGTAGCTAAGTGTGTAGCCAAGTGCACCTAGTGCTCTTTTTATTCATAGCTTCATTTGGAACCTTTCTGAATCATAATTTGAACAGTGTGAGTACATACGTTATTTCTGTTGGGTTTTACTTCTTCAGTGGGTGGTGGGGAGGATATTTTAAAGTATTTGGATAGTGATAGTACAAGGGGGAAGGGTCTTAAACTGAGCCAGGGGAGGTTTAGGTGAGATCTTAGGAGGAAGTTTTTCACCCACAGGGTGGTGAGGCACTGGAACAGGTTGCCCAAGGATGCTGTGGATGCCCCATCCCTGGAGGCATTCAAGGCCAGGCTGGATGTGGCTCTGGGCAGCCTGGTCTGCTGGTTGGTGACCCTGCACACAGCAGGGGAGTTGAAACTGGATGTTCATTGTGGTCCTTTTCAACCCAGGTCATTCTATGATTTGGCAGTATCTGATTTTTCCAGTGTTGTTTTTCGTTTTGGTTTGGCTTTTTGGTTTCCTCTTTTCCTCAAAGGTCATAACACTTGTGACCCCTTGGACAACGCACAAGCCTTTGGAGGATGGAAAGATATGCCCTGTATCTTGTTGATAAGTGCTCAGTGGGGTGATGTGCTCCCCTCACTGATGGAGGAAAGATAAACGTGACTTCCTGAGCAACTTTATGCTAACGTGTATGTGTGAGACTGTAGGTAATTGAGGTAGCGGTGGTTATTTGAGATAGCAGCACTCTCTGCTCCATAGAGATTTTGTGTGGAAGGGTGGTCAGGTATGAATTCTGGGCTATGGATTGGTATGAAATAGAAATGAACTACTGGGGAAAGCTGTTTTGCAGCTTTTGTGCATTTCTTAAACCAATTCGGTCACCTGTGTTTTTGGAATGGGACTCTTTATCCACCAGCCATTGACACAGGAAGAGAGTGCTTGGGGGTAAGCAGCTGAACACCTGAATATGAACATGGTGAAATTGCCTATCCTTAGAAAACTTCTGTGATCAAAATTACACTACCACTAAAACAGTGGACTTCAGAAATGACATCCCAAAAGTTTGGAAATGCATCTGCTGAGAAACTATGTGTATGTTCATTACGTGGCTGGTTTGGTTTTTTTGGTTTTTGTTTTTGTTTTTTTTTTTGCTTGTTTTAGTCAATGGTTTCACTCTTGGGTTGGCAAGGCCTCACTAAAGGATAGGATCTAAAAATAAATCAAAGTCACTGAAAGCTGATATTCTTTGTCTAGTTGGTGTTCTTTTCATCTTTACTCAGTGTGAACTGATGCAATTTGGTTCCTCTGTGTTCAATTGTTATCTCCACTCTCCTCATCGAGTAAGGAGACTAAATCAGAAGAAGCCTCAATTCTTATCTTTGGGCATTAGTACAAGTTTTACTTGACATTTAGTGCTTGTGAAATAATTTATCTTATGCTGCTTTCCTGTTTCAAACCTCTTTCCTTTCCTCCCTGACCCCTTAGAAGAAAATAATATCAAAAAAATCTTTTGTGAGTGCTGTGTTAGGAGCAGCGTAGCTGCCAGATATGTTCTTGCTTAACTGAACTACATTATGCTCTGAGATACATTTTGCCAGATTTAGGTATGATGTGTATGATGGTTGTGAATTCTCTCTCTTTAGCCCTGAAATTCAGCCAGGTGAGGGCACTTGCTTGGTGTTGTAGTTTTAGCTCTTTACTCTTAGATTATAGAATTATTGACACGGTGTGCTGTGAGCTTCTCATGTCTGAATGCGAGCATGTAGGTAGTCTTTGAAGTTAGCCTGCAACTAACTTCTTCCAGTGAGTAACTGAGGAATGTGCTTTTTGATCCTGTTCAGCATCTCGTGTCTTGAGGCTGACCTTGATTTTTCTCTGAAGGTAGTTAGATTTGGTTTATTAAGTTGTGCTGTGTGGCTGTAAGTCAGCTGCTACCAGTAAATGGGTGTAGTGCTGACAGACTTGTGAGAAGAGTAATAGTGTTAACTGGACAAGTTTCTCATTGTGTTTTAGGCATGGTTTGAGCAGTGCTGAACATGAGTAAATGGTGTGCTTGCTCACTATTAGAAATTCCATTCAAGTGTGTATGGGGGAAGTGGAGTTCACAGAGCTATTGTCAAAGCTGCTTTTACAGATCCTCACTCTAAGTGATTTCTCAGCTTTTGCACGCACACACACACGCACACAAATGCACTTGAATGGTGTATGGCAAAATGTGGGCTTCAGGAACAAGAAAAGAGATGCTTATGCCTATTTTACATGTGATCCAAGAATGTTTTTAGTTGCAGGCTTTTTGTGCCATTCTGCCTCGCACTGTGGCTTCCTGGGTCAAAACTTCCCAGTTCTGGTAAAAGGGGCCTCTGTACTTCAGCATTCGTGGCATATTTTAAAAGTTGCTAACAGGCTGTAATTCACAAAATCCATGAATATACTGTGACTGTCGTGTCCCTTGCCTGAAATAAAGAAGTAAACACCCAAACAAGGATTTTCTTTAGTTTGGGGGTAGTTATTGCAGAAAGTTGCTGTGGGAACAGCAGCTAAAGGAATCCAAAGCAGGCGTCTTCCTTGCTAGTGTTACAAGCCCTTAAGCCTAGGGCTCTTCTAGAGATGTGTTGTTAGCTTGTTTGAGGGGTCTGATGCAAACTTCCAGCCTCTAGTTCTGGATCAGCATCTTTCTCCTTGGCCTTTTGACTTGTGCTAAGCCGAAAACTTCCAGTAAGGAAAAGGTGAAGAACCATGTCAGATATCTTGAGAGTGAAGCTAATCAAGGTTTGTGATGTATGGGTTATAGTTTGATAATTGGAGCCTCATAAAATTACTGAAATCTGATTTTCCCCTCAGGAAATGAAGGTGGGAGAAAAAAAAAAAAAAAAAAAAAAAAAAACCTAAAGCATTCTGGCTTTTCACAGCTTCATTTTGAAACAGTTTTAATTAAATGTGATTGTAGGTCTTGTACTTTAATTATTTTGCTTTGTAAGTGAGCTTCTCTGTATGCCTGAACAAAACCTGTCTTGAGTATGGCCAGTGAGCTGAAAAATTGTTAATTCTGCTGGTTTAAGTGTGACACAGCGAAAGGTTTAACTTATAGGAAGTAGTGATACTCAAAAGTTGTCGGGATGAGGGATGCTGCTGTTTGCAGCTGAAACCACTTGGTTGGAATGGCCAGGCTCCTTCTGGCCTTGCTTGCTTGTCTGGCCCAACTCTAGGAAATGAAGCCCGTCTTTGAGGGAGCAGAGCTGTTGTTCTGCCCAACTGTTCACCCTTCTGTTCTCGTACGATGCAGAGAGCTTAGAGTGATGGAAAATAAAACAGGCTGAGTATGTGAGGAAATGCATCCAAACTTGGGCTGCTTTGCAGGATAGTTAGTATTCCTATGTGGTTCAAATGATGCCTCAGCACCTGTCGGTAAGGAGGCACCAGCACTTGCTTTTACTTTAGTGTTTCCTGTCTCTTGTCCTTTTGGGGAGCAAGAGAACAGTAGTTTCTCTTTCCTTGCACTGAGTCTTATATATGATGGCTGAATTTCCGCTCTTACTCAGAGAGTCCGCTTACATATTTTTCTTCCTGAGAACTGTTTCTGCGTCATTGTCTTTACTAAGTCCATACAAAAGCTAAAAGAAAGCTTGATGGCAGTCTTTGTTGTTAATCTGAATCTGAACGTCAAAGAGAAGGGTGTATGTAATACGTGTAGATGTTGTTGAGCATTGTCCTGGTTTTGACAGCAGCTGTATGCCCTCTGTCAGGCACTTCTGACAAGCTGAGCAAGTGGTCTTCCCTCTGAAGACTTGTACTGAAGCTCAAGGGAGCTTCGTCTCTTCCTTTGGCCCTAATATGCTCAGGCATTTTCTGAGCATGCTGGTGAGCTTTTGGCTCGCTTTTGTGGGTTAATTTTTTTCTTCTTCTTTTTTGGCTTAATTGTTTCAGACAGCTTAGTAGTGTACCAAGCCTACTGTGTTTCTGTGGCCCCAAGTCACTTTCCAGTCATCTTTTCACTGGTTTAAAGGCTTATGTTCTGTAGCTCAAAGACTAAATGTTTGATATCTCTTTCTCTCTGGGAAGATGCAGCTGCAGGAAGCAGGGTGGGGTACGGTGTGCAGAGGCAGCTGAATGCTGTGTGTATCAGTATTTCTGGAAGTCTTTTGTTCTGCTTAGCAGGAGCTGTCTGCTCTTGCTTTGGGTTATAAAACTGATGCTGCTGCATAAATTTTGACATCTGGGAACCTCTGGAATAGAGGATAAATAGAGTAGCCTGAAGTAACTTGCTTCTGAAGGAAGACATCAGAGATGCAAGCAACCAAAATGCAACATGAAAGCAAGATTCTGAATGTTGGGATATGGAGCTGATTCTCTTGATACTCTTTTCCTCTCAATCGTTTGTTATTAAGTGGTGTTAGTGTTATATGAGAAGGGAATGCAGGGATTGGAAACTGTATTTAATAAAGGATTAAAAAAAAAAAGCTTTCTTTCCTGCTTATTAAGTTAATCTAGTAAGTTCGTGGCCAGCCTGGAGAGGAAGAAGGTTCACTTAAAAAGTTAGGTGACTTGAAACAAATGCATAGGGAGTTGGTGAGGTGACTTTGCAAAATGTCACAGCACATTGAGATGGTGTAGGGTATTTTGACAGTGTGGTCATAGCAGTGATTAATTCTGCAGAGCAGGAGGGAATTCAGCTGTAAGATTTGCCCATCTGAGACGAATGGGCAGGGAAGATATCTTTGAGCTCTGGTTTGTTTGCTTTTTTCCCCCCTCTGGGCTCTGCTGCTTGTGTAACCAATGATACTGTCAGCATGTTAAGATGGCAGTTTCCTGTGTTACAGTTTTTTTTTCTTTCCTCAGAGGTATTTATTTTCTCCTCTGATTAAAGGTGCAGATGGGACTGTTTCTGTCCCACCTCAGTGCCTGTGGATTCTGCTGGGTGCCTTTGCTGTTTGCTGCTGCAGAGGCCAATGTCTCTGTGTGCAGCATTGCTGCCTGTCCTGCACTGCTGTGATTTGCTGCACCGTGTTGTGGTTGATGCGCCCTGCACGAGGTGGACAGCTTGTTTTTCTCCTTTACCTTGGGGAGAATGTGAGCCTCCCAGTGAAACAATGGAGGGTTTCTCATCACAAAATCACAG